AAGCTCTGGGAGTGGACCGTCGCCCGCGACGACGCACTCTACACGGCAGGTAGACGCCTCCTTTGCTCGTGGGAACCGTCAGATAATATGCTGCACGGTGAACGTAGCCGTTGCGACCGAAGACGTCCAGACGTGCGTGCGCTTCAACACGTACGACATCCGCGAGATCGTGACCAACGGCGCGCAGCGCGTCATCTTTTGGAACTGGGTGCACCACCAGCTCCAGTTCTACTCGCCCCCGCTGTCGCAAAAGGACTTTAAGCAAGCGATTGGCGCGTTCACGCAGTCGATCTTCGTCCCGGACTCGTCCCAAGCCATCACAGCGACCGAAGACGGCGATCTCATTCTGTGGGACTCGTCGCTCGTCAAGTCCGGTGACGTCCTCGTGCACGCCGACAAGAAGGCTGTCAAGATCGTGCGCATGACGGGGCTCGATGCGCACAAGCCCGTCGCGATCCGGTACCTCACCGACATGGACGGGTACCTTGTGGTGGGCGCCGCCGACGGCGCGGTTCGCTTCTACGACTTTGACTTTCGCCTCGTCGCGTGGTTTGAAGACCTCTGTGCCGGGCCCGTCAACTCCGTCTCGTTTGCCAACACGGAGACGGCCACGGAGTCGGTGCCAACCGATGCGTTCCGCGTGCCCGAATTCATTGTCGCCACTTCGAGTACGGATGTGCGGCGCGTTTTCGTGTGTGTTTTGAAATGACATAGATGCGTTCATCCTGGGCATCACGCCGTCGATCCACGAAGAGTTTGACGTCGAGAAGCGCCGAGGCACGCTGCTCATGCAGGGCATTGCCGCCGAGATCCGCGGCCTCGCGACGCATCCGAGTGCGACCGAAGTCGCGATCAGCTGCGCGTCCGGCGTCTTGCAGCTCTGGGACTACGTCTCGAAGCGGCTGCTCATGGTGCGCCACTTTGACGAAGACAAGTTTCGGCCGCAGACGCTCGCGTACGACCCGCTCGGCCGGTACATGCTCGTGGGGTTTGCCAACGGCGCGATCAAGCTCCTGCATGTGAGCACACTCGCCGACTTGCACATGCTGCGGCACTCCAAGGTACGAGTGTACCTTTTGAAACACGGTCATCCATCGGCGTGGCGCAGAGTGCGATCCTCGACATCAAAGTGGCGCCCGACAGCTCGTTCATTGCAGCGATTGACGCGGACAACTATGTGCTCCTTTGGCGCAACAAGGGTATGGAAGCCGAAGAGATTAGCCCCACGATGGACCCGACGGACCAGTGGGTGTACATTGGTCGCTGTCGGTCGCACGCCAAGCCCATCACGGGCCTCGAGTTTGGCCTCTCGGACCAACAAGCGCTGCTCGTCACGGTCGGCGAGGACCGCATGCTCGTCGAGTACAGTCTCTCGCGCTCGAGCGTCCTCGACGGCATCGTGCTCACGGCGCCGCCTCAAAAGATTGAGCAGTCGGCCGTCCCCACGGCGTGCTTTTGGCACCCGGACATGCCGGGCGTGCACGAAGATCTGATTGTGATTGCGAACGACGAGTACAAGTTCAAGGGCTGGAACGCCAACAACAAGACGTGTCGTCGGACGACGCTCAACCCGACGTACGGCGGCCCGCTCAACCGGATCCTGCCGATTCCGGTTGCAAAGACCAAGAGTGAGCGCTACTGCGCCTACAGCACCCACGACAAGGTACCATCAGCCTTTAAGTTCGTAGGCCTGATGAAATGCGGCGAAGGTCGTCGGCGTGATCAAGCTGCCGCTCGATGGCAATCCGCACAAGTCGATGGGACTCATTGCACACGCCGGGCACATCTCGAACGTCGCCATGACGTGCGACGGCCGGTACTTGATCACGGCTGGCGGCAAAGATTTGATCCTCAACATGTGGGAAGTGACGCCGTCGGCGCTCGATGCCATGGAGGCTGCCGGTGGCGTCGGCGTCGAGCCGTTCGGGTCGCTCATCGAAGGCGGCTTGCACGGCGCGTTTTACAATGAAATTGTCGACTACTTTTACTTTGCGCAGCTGCGCACGCAGGGCGAAGCGTCGACCGCTGCGCGCAACATCACGCAAGAGATTCCGCTGGCCGAGATCCCGCACGTCATGCGCGCGCTCGGGTACTACCCGACGGAGCTCGAGATTCAAAACATGTGCAGCGAAGTCAAGTACTCGCGCTTCACCGAGACGACCAAGACCGTCGACGCGATCGGACTCGTCGACTTTGTCAAGCTCTACGTCAACCACCGCCCTGTCTTTGGCATCGGCAAGGCGCACATTGAGGCAGCGTTTGCGACCATTGGCCAGAAGCGAAGCCCGAGCCTCAAGTGGCCCGACCTCAAGCACAAGCTGCTGACGCTCGTAGCCGCATCGCGCATCATCATCGAGGTCTGAGCGAGCGTGTAGGGCGAAAAAATGACCGAAGACGAGCTTAACGCGTGCTTGAGCGCCCTCGTCGGCGACGACGTCGAGCACTGGGACGCGATGACGACGTTCACGTCATCGACCTTTGCCGACTCGGTCCTTGGCTTTGAAGACTACGATGCGTTTGCGACGGCGTCCGAAATCATGTAGTCGCAGACTCGGGTTGGTTGCATCGCTTGTATGTAAATACAGAATCTCTTCTTTCGTCCATGACAACAGACAGTACTGTTGGCAAGCGACCAACACCATTCGTAGAGCACTGCGATCTGTGCAGCTTCCGTGAACGACTGCCCGTGTCAGTCTCAATCGTCTCTCGAGAGTACTATCACGCACCAAGCGCACGCAGCCGTCTTGTTGCCGATGCAGGTTCTTTCCGCAACAATTCGATTCACATGTGCATGCTCGAGGTCGACGATTTGATGGCTCCGGTGTCTTGGTAACCCCCAGCTTCGAGCACTTGCGGTGACTATCGAGTCAAAGTTGACTACATCTTAATAATGACACGACGAACGGAGGGTACTTGAGGACGACGAGCCGCAGAACGGTCCTGGATTGTTCTGGCGTTCCTTGTTGAGGCGTCGTTGATGGCGGCATCGCAAGCGCTGTCGACATAACGATCGGCGGCGACTCTGCCGCGAGTGTGGACGCGTGACCTGTGAGGAGATCGTCCGATGGGTTGGCGGTCCCGCTATCTGATCGTGAGGCTATTCAAGCACGCAATTCACCGGGGTTTCGAGCAATGACGTTTCACCTCAAGCTTCCGGGTGCTTCGTTGCACAGCAGGTTCCGCCCGTGGCTTTGACGGCCCTCATATACAGTCGCCATCGCCGTATGACAGTATCAAGTTTGTGGGGTGTTATCGACGTATGATGTTGATATATTGCATATGTATCAAGTTGCTTTAGTTGCCCTTGTAGTATGTCGCGTTGGTGTAGACCACAAACGCGTGCTCGGCCGCGCAGTACGGAAACACGGGCGGGTTCGCGTTCGCGCTGCTTGGGTTGAAAACCAACTTGCCCGTGTCGATCGAGACGTAGATCGCGAGGAAACTCGAGATGAGCGCGATAAGGATCGCAAAGATCTTCTCGTAGAGCGGCAGCGTCCCGTAGAACGTCTTGACGTAGAAGACGAGCGGCAAAATCATGCAGCAGAGCGCCGTCGACGACGCACCGACAAAGCTCTGGAGGTCGATGAACTTGTCCTTCATGAGCACCGACGCAATGACGGCGAGGACAACCATGACCGTGCGCAGAATCGCCACGCGCATGTAGGCGTTCCCGCGCTTGTAGTCGCCTTCGATCTCCGCGAGGTCTTCGTCGCGCTGACTCATCATGGCCGCGCGCACCGACGTCGGCTGGTTCTTATCGCCTTGCAGCTCTGGCGTCTCGACCGTGCTGAACACGTGGTCGTGGAGCGCAAACGAGTCCTTGTGCAATCCGAGCACGAGGCGCTCGGCGGTGAAGAACGCGGGGAAGAAGATGATACCGAACGCAATCGTGATGTGCATCTGCATGAAGAGGAAGGCGAGGACAATGCCGCCGCGCGACGCGTTAAAGCCGAGCGATGTTCCTGCGATGGCAAAGAGGAGGTTGCCAGGAATCTGACAGCCCGTCATGACGTAGCCTGTGACCGAAATGATGAGGAAGAGCACGGAAATGATCGAGAGCGTAACGATAATGCACCGGGGCATGCGCGCCGGGTCCGAGTGCTCGCGCTGGAGCGCCGGAATGACAATGCCGGCGCCGTAGGCAAGCGAGAGGTTCCCAAAAACAGACGCGACGCCTTCGAACGTGACATCCGGCGGGAACGTGGTCGCGGTCTTGGGCGACAAGCTGTCGACGAGCAGGTAGAGTGCAATCGCATCGGCGGCGAGCGTGCCGATGGCGCCGGCGGCAGCGGCGGCCGCGCCTTCCTTGAGCGTCGGGATGAGGCAGACGGGCAAGAGGCTCAGGCCCATGAGGCAGATCCACACGTCTTGGCCGTACGAGTTGGGGAAGAGGATCGCGAGGAGGATGCCGCCGAGGACGAGGAACACCATGGGAATCATGACGCAGACGAGGAGGTGCGAGATGACGGCTGCCCAGCGCCCGAAGCTGCCCATGCACCACTCGCCCATGTCACCAAAGGTCTTGACGTTCTTGGGCGCTTGCAAAAGCACCTTGCTCATGCAGACGGACGCGTAGATGTTGGCGACCGCCATGAAGACCAGCGCGACAGTCGCCCACGCAGGACCCGCGCGCGCATAGTTGGCTGGCATGCCCAGCGTGCCGATGCCATAGACGCAGCAGAAGAGACTGTAGCAGATCTTGATGTCTTCTTTCGTGAGGAAGACCATGGTGCAAATTGCAGAATGAAGTAGTTTTTGGATCGCAAGAACCCGCGAAGAATAGAGGCTTGCATCGCGAGGACGTCTTCTTTTCGAACAACTTGCGCAGAAGAAAAGCAACGCGACGACCAGCGAGAACCTGCAATGTCCCATGCGTCGATCTATAGCGAAAGGACACGCACCTTGCAGTGACCTGCATGAGCGCGAATACAAGTCCGATAGAAAGACGGCAGCAGCACCGAAACGGTGGCGCGATCCTAATGTTGAGTACCGGTACGCACTTGTTCTTTTTACACGTTTTGTTTGTCAACTCTTGGAGCTTTAACGCAATGCACACGTGATTGATGGATATTTGCTACGACGGTGGGCGCGATCCTTGTCCTTAAACCGACGTGCCGGACGACGGCGCCGTCGAGACCGTCGATGTCGAGACGACCTCGGGCTCGGGCTCCATCTGCGCAATGCGCTTGTACTGGTTCATCCACATGCGGCGGCGGACAAAGTGGGTGCGCCCCATCTCCTTGCGCCACGGACCCTTGCACGTGGTCGCGTAGAGCCACCCGTTCATGTCGCCGTGCACAACGTCGTAGCTCCACTGTCCGCACGGCTTGTAGCCCTCGGGGCACGGCGGCAGCGCGTCCTTGAAGGTCGGACCGCCCTGCTTCGTGTCGGGGCAGTACCACGCAGGCCGATCCCCGAGGGTCTCGGCGAGGTAGGTCTTGGACCACGAGTTGCTGGTCGAGAGCCAGCGCTCCAGTTCCCACACTTCCTGCGTCAACGACGACGCAGCCGCCCACTCGGTCAAAAAGCAAATGGACATATACAGCTTGGAGGCGACCTATGAACCGGAATAAGATCTGATGGACCATATTTCAGAGGCCGTACGCCTTGGTTCGCATAGCACTCGGGTACATTGAGGTCGTACGCTTGAATCTTTGCCTCGTCGATGGTCGTCGCGCCGCTCCACTGCGTCATGTCCAGCTCGATCGAGCCAAGGAGGTCGTCGGCGCTGAGCGCGTCAAAGTCCATGACACGGATGATGAGCGTCTTGTGCGTCGCGAGGTCCGACTCGGTCACGACAAACTCATACTCCTCGTGCTTCCACGTCGGGTTGAGGTTCTCATCGACGACCGGCGACCGCCGGCGCTGGCGGCCAAACTGGAGACTCACGTACGGATCGCTGAGGCCGCCGCCGCCGAGCGACGAGTCGGCGGCCGCGAGGTCCTCGGCGCGGTCGAGGCGGATGCGGATGAGGCGCGACGGTTCTTTCGCGGCGCCGTGCTTCTTGCGCTTGACCTTCTCAATGTGCTTTTCGGCGGCGCCGATGCAGTGCTCGCACGACGACGCAACGATCCCCATCTTGGTCCTCTTCTCGTTTCTTGGCCAAATGCAAACTGGCAGGTGCGTCGCTGATTGGCTCGATCCCGGCAACCCCATCAGCGTTGAAGTGGACGCCATGCTCGCGTTGAGGGAGTTGCCCACAATCCCACGCAGTGTCTCATAGAAAGGTCGAATCCATCCTGCCCGTTCTTGAACCGAGATTCATTTGCGGGCGTCGTTTGCAGGGAGTGTCCCTCTGGAGGACTGACATGGGAGTGGTTGCAGCACTCTGTTGCATGGATGCGACGCGGATGAAGATGCCGAGGAGGATGGTCGAGATGAAGGTCGAGATGCAGGTGGATGGTTATATAGGTTAATGATACTAGCTACGCGGAGAGTCCTTCTTTAAAACTGAAAGTCGTCGCGCTTGTACGCGTTGATCCAGCGGCGGCGGCGTACAATGTGCAGCATGTTGGGCACCTCGTACCATGGACCGTCAAACGTCGGGCCGTAAATCCATCCGTCCTTGTCGCCAATGTGCTTGACGTAGTGCCACGTGTTGATGGGCTCGTAGCGCGGCGGGATCGTCGGAATCACGTCCTCAAACTTGGTCGACGATTCGCTGCCATCGCTCGAGCTCCACTCCTTCGGGTCGGTCTCGGTCAAGTTGGCCTTGGCCCACGTGCGGCGCACGCGGCTCCAGCGCTCGTTCTCCCAGACCTCAAAGTCGAGCAAGGCGACGGCCTCGACTGGCGTCAACAGCGCGATCGACATGAACACGTGCGGCGACACGTGCTGCTTCTGAAGGCTCTCGACGACGTTGACCGCGTAGGACTTGATGCTGTCTTCTTCCTTCTTGAGGCCCTTCTCGACGGTCGAGAGCGGGATGTCGATGACGCCGAGGAGGTCGTCGGGGCGAAAGTTGTCGTCGTCCCAGACTTCGACGCGCAGAATGCCACTCGTGTCGTTGACGCGGAACTGGAACGTCTCGTTGGACCAGATCGGGTTGAGGTTGGACGCGATGCAGGGCGTGCGGTACGTCTGGTCGTTGAGGATGAAGACGAGGTACGGGTCTGACTTGCCGCCCGTGATGGCCATGTCGGCGACCGGGAGGTCCATCGCCTTGTGGAGCTGCACCTTGAGGATGGACGACATGGAAATGGGAAAAAGAAAAATGAACGAAATCGCCGGCCACCTCGCTGAGAAACTGGCAGCCAATCCAAATGCGAGAACGACCATGTGGGCCATTCCGATTGGCACACGATCGGCGGCTTGATAGATATTTGGAAGCGACAGCAAGCGGCACGAAAGCTCCTTGACGCTGCTCTAGCGTGAACATTGCTGATACGAACAGTGCACGAGACGAGTGCAGTGAGCACAAGAGTAAGAACTCGTTGGAGCTCGTCGCTGCGGGCCAAGAATCTAGTGTTGCCAGCAGCTTCGCCATTGAACGCGATTGTGTTGCGGGTTGTTATCGCCACAACGAGAGCAATACAACCGCTGTTCGATGCGCACCCCGTCGCAAGGTCTGCTTTCGGTTATCGTCGATCGAGAAGAGACAAAGAAATCCTTCCAGCTGGCTCAAACGAGTCAACAAGAGTAATCTAGAGCGGTCGATGCATCGATGCGTCGGTCGAGGATGAGCTGCTGAAAATGACAATCAAGTGTCCAAGTTGATATTTTATTGAATCTATACCGGTACATGACCAGCACCGCAAAAAATATCACGCGTTGGGACCCTGCTACCACGTACTGTATGCGACGCTACCTCCTCAATGCTCGGACGTGTTGTCTTCGTTGTCATTGGCGTCGTCGTCGTGAGCTGTCAATAGGGTGTGGCGCACCAGGCCCGCTGTGATTGGTCCCCGCTGCGGCAGACTTCGTTGTCAGCACCCAATCACAGAGCTGCTTTGCCGATCCAGACGGCGCGAGAGAGCATGCCCTGTCCCGACCCTGAGGCATTCTCGAACGATGCGCGCGCCGTGTCTCCTCGTATGGCTCTCCACCGTGGCCGCTACGTTGCATGAGCCGTGGTCGACAACGGTGTCGTCCGAGGCCGGCCGCCTTCTCGAGGCCGCCCACGCCCTACGGTACCTCACAGCAGTGGCTCCTTCCGCTCACACAATCACTAGGGGCGTGGACCAACACAATGCGACCGCATTGTACACGCAAGTCACTGTCATGGGCGACGCGGCAGCGACAAGCGAAGCCCTCTACGCATTGGGGGACCTCGCGTTTCCGAGCGCTGACGCTCACAGTTTGTTCCAACAAAGTGCTGCTCTTGGACACGCGCAGGCGCAGCACGCGCTCGCCCTCCTTGCCGCAGTTGACGCCAAGCCGTCGCTTGCTACTGCAGTGGTATACGATACGTTTGCCGCGGCTAGTGGCGACTCGCGAGCGGCCCAAACACTCGGATATCGCGCTCTGTACGGTTTGGGCACACCCCTCTCGTGCGCGACGGCCTTGCAATACTACAAGCAGCGAGCCGCGACCGTCGTTACTGACGGCGCTACCATGGTTGCCGGCCAGTGGCGCAAGCCGATATCCCTCGCCGATGATGAGAACCGAGATCCTATCCTCGATCAGTACAAGCTTACGTACGTGGCAGCGTCCGCGATCAGCAGCAAAGACGGCAAGGTGCTCTTCCGCGCCGCCAAGCATCTACTGCAGCGCGGCCCCACCGACTTTCGTCTGGTTCGGCACTGGCTCGTGCTTGCTCTCGCGTTTGGCGAGACGCCAGCGGCAGCGTACCTCGGCCACTTGCACGCCTTTGGCTGGGGCGGTCCTATCCATCACGCCAAGGCGCTTGCCGCATACTCAATCGCGAAGGATGTCAAGGGCGGCGAAGCGCTTCTCGGGCTTGGCCTTCTCTACTTGTATGGCCACGGTGTGGCCCAGAACACGGACGTGGCGCTCGAGCACTTTGACAAGGCAGCGCTTCAGGGCCACGCCGAAGCCATGTACTACGTCGCCCGTATTCTCACAGCCAAGAAGCAGCTCAGCCTTGCCGCTCGGTACTACGAAGCCGCGTCCAAGTCGGGCCATGCCCTCGGCATGCACGCGTACGCTGGTATCATCGAGAAGACGTCGGTCCACCCGTTTCCACGCACGTGTGCGCTTGCTGTCAACCTCTACAAGCGCGTGAGCGAAGCTAGCGTCCACCCGTGGCTCGACCGCGCCCATGCGGCCTTTCACCGTGGCGACTATGCTACCTCGTTCCTCCTTTACCGTCTCGTGGCCGAAGAAGGGTACACAGTAGCGCTTGAAAATGCACTCTGGCTTGTCCAAGAAGGCTACGTCATCGCCTCTGGTACTCTGCACTTCACGAGCTCGCAGCAGTCTCATGCTTCTTAGATGATGTGCGCCACCGGCTCGTCAAAGTCGCCGCCGCCCAGGGCAGCGGGCTCGGGAAGCTCCTGCAAGCCGATGCATGGTTGAAGACTGGCGATTATAAGCGCACGCTCGCGGCCTACGCGTCTCTTGTAACCACCCCGGCGCTGTCGTACAAGCACCGTGCGCCGGCCTACTATAGCCTGGGCTACATGCACGAGATGGGCCTCGGTGTGCAGCGTAGCCGCGCGCAAGCGCTCGAGTACTATCGTCAGTCCATCGCCGTCGAACGACGCGTGACGCTGCCCATCGAGCTCTGGACGTGGAAGTGGAAGCTGCTCGATCTTCTCGGATGGGCCTGAGATGACCTTTGCCAATGAATGTGAAAAACGTAATTCGCACGCGGCAATACACCTGTGAAAAATTGAAAAAACACGTGATTCGTATGCAAGCGACTGCGTTTTGTGCCAATCAACGCAACAGGTTCGCAGCAGTCAGCTTGCGTTTTGCAGTCGCTTCCAACACCAAGACCACGGGACCACGCGGCTTTCTCTGGTGCAATAATACTAATACGGTGGTGCCCGCGTCCCATCATTCATTCTGAGCCTGAGCCCCTGGCGCGAACAGCAACGACGACGAATGATGAAAGAATAAAGCTGGCAAGCCGCAAGTATTATACGGTATGTAATCAGCTTAGTCCTTGCGAGCTTTTGGCATAATCACTTTCGGCTTGGGCTTCCACTAGTCGTACACTAGGCGGATCGGAAAAATCAATGGCGGGTCCTAACCAAGGTGCTTCGTTTCTTTTAGCGCAAAGTACTTTGGTAGTACTTTAGTATACGACGTGAGGATACTGGGCGGTTTACGCGATTGCTGCGGTCACGTAGCGACCGTCGGATTGCGTTTGCGAGGTCAAATTCGAGCGAAGTCGGCGTCGAAGAAGCCCGTGCGACGCGTGAAAAACACAATTGCCACAAAACCCACACGGACGAGCCGGCGATTCTCACCATAGTAATCTTTTTTGGTCGTCTTGGATGCAGTACGACGGGGCGAGCTCGTGTCGCCACTGCCTCGACGAGCCCGCGGCCGCGTCGGCCATGTCATCGACCTTCTTCATGGCCTCGTGTCTCTTCCTCTTTGGCTTCCTCTGCTCGTCCATCCACACCAAGTCGACTGCGGCGACGACCACCGACACACAGCTCTCGCCGTTCATGCGGCCACGACGCCGGCCGCTCGCGCCCGATACCCGCGCCCTTATGCCCACAGCCGATGCAATCGAAAAGCAATATGGGGCCTTTGCACACGTCCCGCTCACGGTACGTGGATCATTTCTAGACAAGGTCGTCAGGCTCTGTGTAGGTCATCCACGAGGTGCTCTTATTCCTCGATGCCCGCGACCTCGTGCCCTGCACGATGCTCAACACGACGTGGCGCCACACGCTCTGCGACTCCGACACGCTGCTGTGGTCGCAAGTGTTTCGCCGCGATTTTCTCGAGGACGGGAAGCGCTTCCACGCGCCGTGCGGGCTCTCATGGCACGAGTACTACTTCCAGCACCGCCTCAACCGCCCGATTGAGCGCATGAAGCTGCTCGTGGGCCGGCAGTGCGTTGCCGTCGAAGGGCACGTGTACGACGTCACCGACTTTCTGTACGAACACCCTGGCGGCCACCGCGTCATCGCGGACGTCCTTGGCACCGACGCCACGTCCGTGTGGCTCGAATTCGAGCACTCGGTGGGCGCCCAGCGCGCCATGGATGCGCTCCGCGTTCCCGACAACATATGCCCGGCGTTCCCGCTTAAAGGCAACCTCGAGCGCATCGCAGACCGGCGGCACGGCTTCTTCCAGCGCTGGCTGCGCAAGGTCGTGCCATCGATCCGGCAACCAATTAACAGCCAGTAGTAACAAGTGCGATTTGAAAGTCAACCTCTTACACCCTTGAAACACCACACGTTGTTGTCTTCGTTCATCATAGCTCCTCGCGCCTTATAGGTTGACCTCGGACGTCTCTTGCAGGATGTTGATGATCGACGTCGTCGTGCTCACGACAAAGGCGATGGCCCCGAACGCCAGCGCGAGCCACGGCAATATGCAGTCGTGCCAGCGACTGTAGCTCTCCAGCGGCACGCCGAGCTTGAGGTGACACGCCGCAGGCAGAACGAACGCAAGGGCCACCGCGCTAAACGACCCAGTCAAGCTCGTAATGTCGCCGAGATGCGGGTCCACGAGCGCAATGAGCACGGTCGCCGCGAGGAGACTCATCGTGAAGAAGACGTGCCAGCGCAGCGAGAACGCCGCGATGCGCGCGTGGCAAGGCCGCAGCGAGACAACTTGTCCTTTTTCTTGCTCGACGAAAAGCGACGCCGCGTCGTTGTCCTTGTGGTCGAGAAGGATCTGGAGCGTGTAGCGCGCGACCATAAACTAGCATCACATCGCCGTGTCCGTGCTCATATGGATGGTTCGCTGTACCTCTTGGGGGTACGTGAGCACCATCGAGAGGACCGTAATGACGCGGCACACTTGGATCACGTGGTCTCTAAGAAGGTGGTTCTAAGATGCATGAAGTACTCGTAGTGGGTCGTGTACGAGGTGTCGGTAAAGTTGACGAAGATGTCGCTGCGCGTGTGCTTGAGGAACATGAGGTACCCGGGCACGCCAAAGAGCACGATGAGCACGAACGAGGCGCCGACGCTCCACTTGGCGACCTTGCGAAAGTGCGCGGGCGACTTGTCGAGCATCGTGTTGTACACAAGGTACGTCTGGTGCTGGCAGACGTAGGCAAACGCAATCGTGCCGATCGCAGGAAAGATCTTGCGGTGCACGGCAATGTAGTCGTAGAAGACGCCGCTGTCGTCGACAAACGGAAGGCGGTCGGCCTCCGTGATGCACTTGTACACGAGACACCCGGCGCAGATGACCATGCCCGCGATCGAGAGCCCCGAGCATTTCGCGAGACTCGCAAAGTCGCGCTGTAGACAGAGCGGTAGGAGAAGCAGCAGCGCCTAGCACCATCGTCCATCAATACGACCTCGAGACGCGGTGATGGAGCGTCGTACAATGGCCATCACGGAGAGATCTCGGTCCGTCAAGATGCGGAGCCACGTTGGTGCGGACGCCGACAGAACGGGATGGCCGTGCTGGAACGGCAAATGCAGCACGTGACCTAGCACCGCGTGACGCACCGAGTAACATGGACGCGTACCGATGAGCGGCGGCACCGTGTCGCCAACGACCGTCAAGTACGAGCAGTTGGCGCCAAACGAAAAGGTAAACTGGAAAAAGCAGACCACGAGATAGCCTCGCGGCCCGAACGCAGCCTTGGCCAGATTCTCGTACGTGTCAACGTTGTAGACGTCGCCGAGGCGCACGATGACGTTCATCGAGTACATGGTGAGCGCCGCGCCGAGGAGGAGGAGGCATAGCACGGGCGCAAAGCCGCCGTCGGCCATCGCATGTGGAATCGCAATGACCCCCGCGCCCACGATCGAGTTGGTCAAGTTCATCGCGACGCCCCACGTACCGCTCGCCTGGTGGACGGCGACCGCCGGCGGCGGGCCGCCCACGTTGTCGTCGATCTCGGCCGCGTAGAGCACCGCCGTGCCATGCAGGATCGGCTGGCTCTGGGCCCTCCGCGACTTGCGGCCCATGCGGGAAATACGAAGATTACCCAAGATATAGTACACCGATGGCCGTTACGCCCGCCGTTTCGAATCCGCGTTCTCGCGTGTCGTGCTGCCACGTCATGGACGCGGCTACCACCCGTCTGTACGAGACGATATACAACCAACACGCTAGGAGTCATCATCTGAATACAACAATGGGGGATTAAGGGTTGTTGAGATCAGGGAGGTCGTCGCCGCGCTCCCACTGCGCCAGCTGGTGCTCGTGGCTTTGGATGCGCTGGCTGATGTTGGCCAATTCTTGGGCAGCAAAGTCGGCCATAAAGCCTGAGATGTCGGCGTCCGCCTGCCAGACGAGCCACTTGATGTCCATACGGTTGGCCTCGTGGTGCTTCTTCCAGTACGCTTCGCTTGACTCGTCGTACACTGTGTGGTGTCGCTTGATCAACTTTTTCTCTTCAGTGTCTTTGCGGCGACGGTCCTTTGTTGCCTCGTTCGCCTCGTTCGCCTCCTTCGCTGTCGCAGACGACTCGACTGCTTCGCGCGGTTTGTGGTCGTCGTCTCGACGCCGCGTTGGCTCGGGCGCCTTTGTATCGGAGGCCGAGCCATGGTGGCGCGGGCGAGGCTCGGTGTGGCTCTTCTCTACGTCGTGATCTTTGGACGGGGCCTCGCGACTTGGGCGCCGCGCTGGGCTTCGGCGGCGGTCGTCGCGCCGTGGACTCGCTTGTCGCTCAGAGCGTGGATGGCTCTCATGCGCATGCGGCTCGGCTGCACGGGGTGGGCGGGACGCCGATCGTGGCTTGAAGCTCGGTCCGCGTTGCGATGCCGCGGACTTGAGATTGGGCGTTCTTCCTGTCGCCGAGAATTTGTCGACTCGTATCGTTGCTCGGAGCGGCGTACATCTCGACTTCGCGTTTCTCGCGATGGCTCGTCGTTGCGGGAATACTCCCGGCGCGTGTCATGACCCCGCCGGTCGTCACGGTCCCGGGAGCTTCGTCTCGGACCTGCATATCGACCGCTGTACGCATCGCGATTGCCCTCCTGCCGCGGCCTTCGGTCGAAATGGTCGTCCTGGTACCGGCCACGGTCTGACCGGCCGCGCGATCGATCGCGGGATCGGTCACGGCCCGAAGCTGGGCGTGGCGACGATAAGCGGTCCCGGCGGCCACTGCGCGATGCGTACGAATGCTCCCGCCGATCGTCTGCCCGCAAAGATCCTACGGAGCGCCATGAGCCTTCCTGCAAGCGACCCGCGACCGGTACCTCGGCCGTCCATTTCCGCTTTCGTGCTGCCGCCAGCTGGGCGGTTTACGCATAAAACTTGTATTATCCGGATATTGCAAGGAGATCGCAACACTCACAATCTAGACAAATCTCAGTGCCAGAGCTTATAGGGCCGACGTCGCTGCGTGGGTCGCGGCAAAGGAATCGAAGCGGCGCTTCATGGCCGTGAAGGGCACCATCGGGGTTGTCTCGCCCGTGAAGGTGACTGTGTCGTCTTCAAAGCGCACCAGCACGAAATGCTCGTTTGTCGATGTGTTCTCGTAGATCTCCATCGCGAGAATGGCACCGTAGTTGGGAATGACGTTGCCAATCTGCAGCCCCAACGCGCACACGAGAGCGACAAGCGTGTTATCGTGAGCGGATATGATGGTCAATCGGTGGTCAATGTCCTTCTGTGCACACACAGTTGGGTCAGAATCAACACAACACGGTTCCAGGAACGAGCTGCAGTACCTCGACGATGCTTTCGAGGTGCGCTTGGATCTCGGCGAGGCCGCGCACAAACCCGCGCTGTGCTTGCTTCGGGTCGTTGTAGAGAAGATGCCACTCCCACGCGTTGTGGTCGCACGCCGCGTCGTAGAGAGCGTCGTGCAGACCGTCGGGCACGGGTAGTCCATGGGCTTTGCGACACACGAGCATGTCGCGCACTAGCGCCAAGCTCAAAGATATAGGACCTTGGCGGGTCGAAGAACGTACCGACAGTCCAATGCAGCGCTTGGTCGTCGGGGATCGCAAGCAGCGCCTTCATCTCGGCTTCCAGCGCTTCGTATCCTGGACGTGTGGCGTGCGCGACCGCGTTGGCGTGGAGGCCAAAGGCCTTGTACTCGAGGCCAGAATGGATCGGCGTCAGAAACTGCGGCGCCATCGTGTGCACTTGGAAGCGCGGCGCGTCCGGAAAGAGACCGCGCACGACGGATTGCGCCGAACGAATCGTGCGCGTGATGTTGGTCGAGACGATGTACACGTCGTGGGGCTCGGCGTCACCGAGAAAGTGGTCGTAGCGCTCGCGGAGCGCCTGGCCACGACGCATCATGCCTTCCATTCCGCGGCGCGTGAGCTGTCCGAGCGGCGAGACGCCCCGTGCTTAGGCTCGTCTTCTGTGTGAACGGTCGCCGCGGCGTCCAAGGTGGCAATGTCCTCGGGCGTCAAGAGCTGCGACGCCCAGTATGCGCGCTCGGTCTCGTCGATGCACAGCTTGGACGACACATGCGAAGAGATGGGCGCGCGGTCGCCGTGGCGATGCATGACCACGACGTGGCGCAAAGCCAGCGAGTCGGGAACATCGGCCATCGTCGTCGACGTCGTCGACCTTCGTTGACAACTGCAACCTCGGAACATCAAATGCGTTCACACACTATTATCCCTGGCTACTTCAAAAATCGAAATAGTGTACAATGTACGTGGCAGCACCACCACGCTGCGATGCTTTCAAGTCAGCGACGTGTCCTGCGCTAACGTTATAAAGGATGAATGGAAAATATTTCCAGGGCAACGCTAGACTCTTCAACCATACCACCGGGTATTTTAGCCTCATAGATTCTTAAAGTTGCAAACTTGCCACCTCTACTATTCGTACTGGTAGTACGCATACTAGTACAAAAGCGTCAGAACCAACAACGTACTTGGACGCTTCCACTTTGTCGGTAGCTCATGATGTGATTTCTCAACGCCCAAGCGACGTTTCATCCGCCAGATCAAGCGAACATCGATACTCAATGGACCGATCCGAGGCGCGGATGGTATCACAAAGTGATCTGATTGGCATTTTAAAACCGAGTCGGATCTTATCTTCTGCCGGTCAAGTCGCCAAAATGGCCTGTACGAGCCGTGAAGCGACGCAAGCAACCGACGAGCGCATCCAGCGGCTTGTACGTAGCCGCACGATCCAAAAGGCAAGTCGCGACCGCAAGAAGAAGAGGTATTTAGCGACAACGGCGACCGTCGAGACCCTCCGCGACGAAGTCGCGCTGCTTCAAGTTCGCGTGGCAAGCCTCGTGCGGCGCTTGCCCCTTACCCACGTGCTCTGTGTTCAGCCCAATTTTGACGGAGGGCCCACACTCAAGATTGCTCGCCAGTATGTGACGCTCTTCAAGCACGTACGTACCTGCAACGTCGTCGCGCACCAATACAAGCTAGGGCTACAACGACACGAAGCGCAAGCAAAGCGCAAAGCAGCTCGCATTTCTTACAAGTGTTGCCGCTGCCAATGTTCGCTACAACGGTGGCATTGGCATTCAGAGCATACTGGGCAACTGGCTGCGCTACACGTTGACGTTCTCGTCCGTACGACCGCCGCTTCATGGTGCACCAGCAGTCTCATGCGCGTAGATGGCTATCGAAATGCGAGACTGCGCAATCCTCAAGACCGACGACGGTCCGCTCGTCAAAGGCGTCGTCAAGACGTATCTCAAAATCAGTCGAAGCTCCCTTAGCACCATATTTCCACACTGCCCCGACCACCTCAAGCCGCAGCTGGTATTACTACTTGACACACCGAGCGCGCGCGTGATGCGTGGGTAGATTGGCCAGGTCATGACGTTGTACGCGACCATGCACTGGAGCTTTGACGAAACGGACCGCCTGATTGCGCTCGACGGCGATGGCGACTTTGTCTCGGGCCTTCTGCCGATCTTGAAGGACATGGAAGCGGTCGCCGCCGTCCTCAACATGGCAGCCTTTTACGGCCCCGAGTCGGCCATCCTGTAAGTCCGACATGAATAACATCAAAAAGGCTGTCGACTGCAGAGACGCGAAGCACAGGCCACCGTCCGCGACACGTCTAACAGAATGCCGAGACGTTATTGTTCCGATTCTTGTGTGCAATTATTGCACATGGCTTTGTAAAACGCACACCAGACGCCACCAAAAGAGTTTTGAAGCTCTATTGGGGCGCGGGGCTCAAGTCGACCCGCGCCACGTCGCTTCGATCGAGCACGACAGCCTCGCCGAGGCTTGCTGCTACCTTGGCTTGCTCGGCAAGGGCCTGTAGGCGCTGATACTCGGCGCGCTGCGCCGCTACCTTCTCTTCGGCGCGCTTCTCGTCGGCTGTCTTCATCTGGTTTTTAAGATGATGTTCCAAATCAGGTCGCCGACAAACGTTGGCAGCCAGACCGTGTCCGTGTACTACACGGGGCCTCGTCGTTGCCAGTCCACGTGTCCATCGACACATACCTTGATGAGACTTTGTACGCACTGCGCATGTCCGCGCACGGTCGCCCATTCGAGCGAATTCAAGTTCGCCTACTCTCGCATTGGTTGCGTCCGTGGGGTGGGAGCATACGTCGTAGTCGGCGATAAGGAGGTCCTTGAGATCCCCCGCTTGAAGGAGTAAAATGGCGGCTTGGGCGTGGCCCGCATAGCACGCCAAGTGTCTACACGCAGCGTACTCGCCTCCCTCGAACACTGTATGACCTACAGTGGAATGCTCCCATTCTACGACACAATGAGGAGCTCTCGTCGCGGGCCAAGGCGGAATCGTACGTCGTCTTTACTGTAGACGCTGGCGCCGTGGGCCAAGAGTAAAGCCACCGCGTCGGTCGATCCCCCTTTCGCCGCCCTAAGAGACAGCGTGCAGCGACATCTTGCCTTGACCGTGCTACCAATGCAGCGGCGTTTGGTGCATCTACAATATAGCACGAGTCGAGTATCGAGGAGAGTAGTGGAACGTCGCACCATCCATGGGTCGGCTGTCGTGTCGACTGCGATGCCTTCAACGCGCACGAGGTGCTGTAGCCGCAGCATGTTGCCTTGGAGCGCCGACCAAAAGATGTCGCTGCACACTACGCATCGCTTCGTATGCACGACGGTGGCGCGACGCGCGTACCAACTTCGGACGTGGCGCAGACGTAGTTGTCGAACGGTGTGTGCACGCGGCGCGGCGCCGTGAAGATGCGCACCTGGATCGGCGCCTTGCGCCGCATCGCGCGCAGCTTCTTGAGGCTCAGCGCCACCACTGCGCGCTCGTGCTGAAAGTAGCCGGGCTTGACGGGCACCACATCCCGCTTGGACTTGACCTTGTTACGCTTCTCTTGCTACGCAATGTCGTCAATATCAACTTGAAACATGGGCAGTACGACCCGACGCGCCGCGGCGGACGGCGTTGGAGGTAGCTCGGCGCTGACAGGAGGTGCAGTGTCGACGGCAATACTCATCGGCGGGCTGCCGCTTGGTGCGGCCGGTAGCTCGAGCGCGCTGGCTTCCAATGTGAGCATGTCGCCGGGCGCCTCGTCGTCGCCTTCGGGCAGCGGATCCAAGGACGGATCAAACTCATCGCCCGTGGTGACACCAACGTGGTCCTCGTCGTCTGTGCTGAGGAGACCGGCGTCGCTCTACAGGCCTCGGTCACGCCACGCCGTGTCCAGGCATGAGCTGTACAGAGAAGGGATCGTCATCGTCGCCCGTGGCGGTGGCTGCGACGCCGTCATCTTCGCCGGCTTCCTCGCTGCTCGGGGCGCTCTACGCCTTGCAGCTCGTATTACATGCCAATTCGACAGCGCCTTACGTTGTCATCCTCGCCACCGCTGGGCGGCCGCGCCGCTTCAAGATCCATGAATCCACACTAGTGACAAACTTGATAGATTGAAGATTTACACGACACGTCTCTAACTGCAACACAACTCTATTTGCACGCCTTTTGGTTCTTCGAGTCGCAGAGCACGGCGCGGTCGACCGAGATCGTCTGCTGGTACGGGTTGTAGCGCGCGTGGAACGGCTTCTTCATGTCTTCGCAGAACTCGCGCATGCGCTCCTTGGCGTCCGTGAGGCTCTCGGCGACGTAGTAGATCGGCTGGTACGTCGTGATCGGGTACTTTTGCTTGGCCGCCTGGTACGGGTCCCACGGGCGGTACTCGGGGAAGACGTCCTCGCCACCGGCCGGCCGCGTCGGCGAGCACGAGTACTCGAGCTCGCCAAAGCTCGAGAGAAGACCGGCGCCGTACGCCTTCTTCTCGCCGTGCTGCATGCACACGCCAAACTCGACCGAGAACCAGTAGCACGTCGCGAGGCGCTCAATCTCCTCGTCCGAGGCACCGAGCGACGCAAGACCAATCTCGTGGGAAAAGTCGGCAAAGGCCGGGTCCGCAAACATGGGCGCGTGGCCCATGAGCTCGTGGCAGATGTCGGGCTCGGGCGTGTAGAGCGGCATCGTGTGGTGGCGGAGGTACTGCGTCGAGAAGAAGACGCGGAACGCAAGGCCGTTCAGAAAGTCGCGCGACGAGAGGAGACCGGTGACCGGACGCAGCGTGAAGCCCGTGCACTCCTTGAGAAAGTTGGAAATGTCTTGGGCTTGGGGAATGTTGTCGACCGCGTACCCGCAGTTGGTCTCGAGGAGCGGGAGGATGTACTTGAACTCGTCGCACGCGTACTTGCCCCAGAGGTCCTGCATGCGCTCGTACACAAGGCCCCACGTCTTGATCTCGTCCGGCGTGTACTTGATGCGCGGGATCTCTTGGCCTTGGCGAAAGTTGAGCGCGACTTCCGTGAGCTGGTCGCGACGGGCGCGGTACACCTTGTCGTTGAAGCCCGGGTGGTCGCACTCGAGCTCATCGCCGGCGTCCAGCGTCTGCGCCACCGACATGTCCAAGTCGGCAATCTTGCGCGGGAACCACGGCACTAGAAGGTAAAATATATCGTGAGCGGCCATGTTCAGGCCGCATCATGGAGACGTACCCTTCTTTTCGTTGAGGATCATCATGCTCTTGCAGTGGCGCTTGAGGTCTTCAAGGAGCGCGTCGACGCCTTCGTCGCCCGGACGCCCGTCAAAGTCGATGAAGAACGAGTAGTCGGGCGACGTGCCCTTGGTCGGGCGCGATTCGATGCGCGTCATGTTGATGTCACGCTTCCAGAAGAACTTGAGCACGTCTTGGAGCGAGCCCGGGTTGTCGTCGACCTCGAGCATGAGCGACGTCTTGGGCTTGTTGACGTGCGTCGTCGTCGCCGGGGTCGCGGTCGCAAAGTGGCGGCCAAGCAGGGCCATGGCCGGCGCCTGCTGGCGCGAGGTCATCGCGCGGGGCAGCGCGGTCAGGGCGGTCATGCGCGCGGGCTGGCGGGCCATGAGGCGGGCGGCCTTGGTCACCGTCTTGCGGAACATCCTGGCGAAATGAAAACTGACCGGCGCTATCTTGTGGTCCCAACCGCTGCAAAAATAAGGTTGGCACGGTCGGGCCCTACAACCAGGTCTCAAACAAGGACATTCCAAGGTCACTTCGGTTGTTTTCGGATGTTTACAAGTCGGCGTGCTGGTGATATACATTGAATTTGTATGCGGCCCTGTTTCCGGAGCGTTTTCCGGAAGGAAATTTGTGCGTGGCACCAGCTGGCGCGCATTGGGACTTGAACTTGCTGGAATGCGCGCTACCATTGGCATGGAGCGCTCGTGTCCCACCCAGCCGACGTCCTTGCCTTGCGTCAGCGTGCGCGGCCATTTAATTGTATAGGATATACTATCGACACGCGTACTCCAGTCACACATGGGTGTCGCGCGCGTTGAGAGGCTCTCGGCCGTCGCTCAAGCGGGTGCGGGATGCTGAGCGAAGTCCGAGCCACGTGGCAGGCGCGACCACGAATAAAAGCCACGGCTGCTTGTGGTGGCCAGGAACCACTGAATTTTCCAATGGCGTACAAACACCCGTGCGTGTCTTTGCAGGTCTTTTGGCCCGTCGAGCCCAACGCGACTGCGGGGCGGGCACCAAGGCCGAGGCCACGCAAGTTCAAGCGCAAAGGTATCTTTTCGGAATTCCATTTGATCTTGCATCCACTCTGCAGTGACAAGGGGCACTGTTTACAAATGCCTCGGCGATTGCATTTGTAAACGGCAATGTTTACAAATAGCTCGTGGCGGGCCCGAGAGAGATGAATGACCGGCTTGGGCCACAGCCCGCATGCGCGATGCACGCTGTGGGCCTCGGGCCGTGGCGCCACCGTTCTGAGAAGACGACCGCGTCACATGCATTCATTGCAGCTTCTCCTAGTCTGCAGCGAGGCTCTCAGGCCATGCCGCGAAAACAGCGCACCTCTTGTATGATCGAGTTGACGCATGTGCAGCTTGTTAGCTCGCATCTACACAGTGTGTTGAGTTGCGTCGGGCGTCGGGTGGCTCGGAAGCTGCGCTAGCCGCTCCCGCATCGCTTGGAAGGCGTCGGGTAAAATAGGGCCAAGCTACGAATGTTAGACGCCTATCAGTTCTGAACGTGGTACTTTCTCGCTTTACAAAGCCGAGACCGAGCTGGCACCGGCGCATATTGTCGGGTCCTGGTAGTAGCACGTCGAGGAGCGCGGCGTCGTGCTGCGGAATACGCTCGATGACCGTGCCCACGAGAAGAAGCCCGTGCTCTCGAAGCGTAGGTGCGCAAGACGCGTCGGCCACGTAGACGTAGACAAGATCGTTGCGCTACGCTCTTGTCGTTCAACAGCCAACGGAGGTGGGCGCGTGAACCTGGGCAAACCAGCCACGTGGGGGCGGCGCGACGATGCACTCTTGTGGCAGCAAGGCCGTCATGGCCATCCAGACGTCCTTCTCGATGCTGTCGCCTTGTACGTGCACGAGAGCCATGTCGTCGTCCAGCGACTCGACAATGGTCCCGAGATACCACACGTGAAGCCACCGCTTGAGGACGAGCATCAATCGCTGATCCTGAGCGGTCGCCAACGGTCAACCCAATCAGCGACCAGCATATCCAATCCATAGCCAATCACAACGTCGCATTCGAGATTGCACTTGCTCGAAATCGAAGCTTCACTTGCCAAGGCAACGATGGAGGCAAGCACGCCCATCGAGATGCTCGACGACGACGCGACGCTGCTGTCGACGCCCAAAGCGGCGCGAACGTGGGGCGGCCTCAAGATCACCCAGTTCCGGTCGCGCCGCGCGTCGACGCCCGAGCCCCACCCGAGTGCAACTGCGCCGACGACGGCGTATCACGTCAAGGACTGCAAGCCCGACGTCGTTGCGCTTCTGCGCCGGGCGCTGGACGAAAAGGACGCGGTCTTGGCTATGCAAGCCGTGACCACGCACCCGAAGCTCGTGGCCTCTCCGCTCCAGGTCCACCCAACTTGTCGTGCTGCATCGCATGACATTTCGGTAGGACGATACCGTGCTGTTGCACCATCTCTGCCAGTGGCCTCACATCGAGGCAACGCTCGAGCTCCTGCAGCACTGCGTGCACGAGTACCCGGAAGGCGTTGCCTACATGGACAAGGTGCCCACGTCGCACGTCATTCGCTTACACGTTGCGTAGCGCGGTCGGACGCCATTGCACTACCTCTGCATGAACGGTTCCGTGACGGTGCGGGCGATCCAAGTGCTCGTCGTTGCGTTTCCCGTGTCGGCGGCCATGTGCGACAAAGCGTCGTGCCTGCCAGTGCACTATCTGTGCTTGAACTCGAGCCAAACCATCGATATGACCATGATGCTGCACAACTACGAGACCTTCTCGCTGCGCAATCACGTAGGGCATCACGAGGATGCTTGGGTGACCCTCACGTCCTTCCAGGATGGCCGCACGCCGCTGCACTGCGTTCTCTCGCGGCCCGACTGCGAGTTTGAACTCTGCGCGACCGTGCTGTCGCTCGCGCCCGAGACCACGTCCGTCGTCGACAGCGTACCCGCATGTACTAACTAACTAATTGGCTGAACGTATGATGCAATAGATGGGACGCACCATTTTACACATGGTCGCGGCGCACCCGACGCACATCGAGAGCCAACTACTCCAGTTGCTCTTGTCGCTGGACGTGACCGCCGCGCAGCACAGCGACATGGTCCTCTATTTTCGCCAGACTTCAATGTATCAACTCGAGATATCGTAGCATGGCCAGCTGCCGCTGCACCGGGCGGTCGCCAACCCCAACGTGAACGTGGCGGCGCTGCGCCAGCTCTTGCACGCGTTTCCTGGAGCCGTCGATGTTGTGGACGGCGTATGGTCGACGTGGCGTGTCTGCACATTGAGTGTTGCTGTCTCGTAGCATGGACAGTCGCCGCTGCATCTCTTGTGCGGCAACGAGGCGCTCGCGATGGACCTTCTCCTCGACTACGCAGCCGTGGCGACGACGCTGCCGACGAGCTTACTTTGGCTCGACGACGTAGGAAGAAACATGTTGCAGTAGCATATGTGATGGCGTAGGAGGCGTCGACAAGCCTGCACATTGCGTGCATGAACCCGTCGAGCTCGCCCGAGATGATCCGCGTCATCTACGATCTGCAACCGGACGCAGCGACCGCGCTCGACAAGGCACGTGCCTCGCACTACCTCGTTATGTGACGCATCGCCGTCTAGTAGTATGAGTGCACGCCGTTCCATTATGCGTGCAGCCATCCGAGTATCTCGGTCGACCTCGTGTGGCTCTTCCTCGACCACGCTCGCGCACTCACAAGTGTTGTCGACCACGTAATCGCTTCCGCTTTTTCTTGTATCGATGTTGATGCACATGTGTAGCGCGGCAAGACACCGCTGCACTACCTCGCAGCGAATCGCCACGTCTCCGTCGACATGATCAGCATCGTCTTTGACGCAGACCCGTCGGCGTCCCAAGTCACCGACCACGTACCGACGCCTCGCGCCAGCAACACGTGTCTTGTAAATCGGGCGTAGGCCATGAAGCTGCCCGTGCACTATCTCATTGAGAACCCTTCGATCCCTTCCGCGCACGCCTACCGCCTCCTCGCTGGCGGCGCATCGTACCGTCAGCGCTACCGCATCCATGACCGCGCCGTGACCGAGTTTGCAACGACTTCGTTTGCCCACGGCCCTCATGGCGCGCCCGACGTCTTGTTTTCTGCCATCGACGAGGCCATCGATGGCAGTGACGACGTGCGTCTGCAGTATTGCTCGTCGAGCGCCATTCACCGCCATTTGATTGCACTCTACACGGCGCTCCAGGCGACACCAGTACGAAATACACTCGTTGGCGTATCCCAACGCTGGCGTAGGCACCGGACGGCGTCGCAGTGCCAGCCCTTCGCGACACGTTTGAAAACGCGCGTCGCCGCATCCGCCTCCCATCGTACGGCCCACTGTACGCAGGTGCTCTTCAAACACACGGGGTAGGGGTGCGTCCATGACCCTCGAATTCGGGCTCGTCACGCTGACCCCTCGCGCCGCCGTGGCGGAGAGCAGCGCGGTGGACCCGCGCCGGCTGCTCGTGTCCATGGCAGCGGTGCTTTTGCACTGGCACGACGTGGCGCAGGTCGTGCACGGCAACATTGTACGACACGCGATACGCTCGTGTTAGTGTTCTGACTTGCTGGCTAGTGTCCGGCGACGGTGGTGCACAGCCATATCGACGACGCGCACATGCTGTACCCGGCGCCACCCAGCGTCCGCATCGGCCAAGCCATGGCCACGTGGCTCGTCTTTCCGACGCAGAATGCGCTGTACTGTGCGCCCGAGATGGCAGCCGCCTACCTCCGGGGCGAGACGCCCATGCCAACGCCCGCGACCGACATGTGGCAGCTGGGCTGCACCATGTACGAACGACTCGAATCCGAGTCGAGAGGAAAAACTATGGACGTGCTAGCTACCACGTGGCCACGGGCACGACGCTTCTGGAAGCGATCGCGCCCCACGCCGCGCTGTGTACGCCCGACCAAGTGTACCACCTGCTCTTGTCCATCAACGAGAGCGTGCTCGAGCGAGTGGTGCAGCGCATCGGATGCCACGATGTCCAGCGACTGGTCAAGCACCTCTTGGAGATCTCGCCTTCTGCGCGGTGGACGGCTCGTGGATTGGTCGTACGACGCATATCTTGATGTGCAGAGCCACGAACGAGGCACGAGCTGTAGGAAGCGACGGCGAGAGTCGCCGAGGTTGCTCTGCCACCGAATGAACCGGGCGAGGTAGGATGCGACGCTCCGTCATGCATGCATGCGGGACTGTGTAGGCCAGAGCAGATGCACCCGAGCCCCTCGACCCAGCTGTGCTGCTCGTGCAACGCCTTCGCGACGACGTTCAAGTGCAAACGCACGCGACGCTCGAAGCCAAGACACGTCTCCGCCGCGTCGAGCTCGTACGATAGACCGCATCGTATGATGCAAAATGACGCGGGCGGTAGGACCGGAATCACCTTCGCTTGCAGCTCTCGGAGCTCGTGGACCGACTGAATGCGATCTTGCTGGAGAAGGAAGAGGCAATCCAGCAGGTCGCGGTCATGACCAAGAAGCGCGCGTCGCTCACGCAGCAGCTCGACACGATGGCGCACATGCTCATCTCGGTCATGCCCCTCGCGCAAAAGGTTCGTCGTTTCAAACAAAAGTATCAAGATTGTATCAATCTTAGGTCTACGGAGCGATGGGCGACGATCTCCTCGCGCGGCTCATGTCCCATGCCGCCATGGGTACGCCGCCCGAGTCGGCCTTGTACGCGCTACCTGCCAGTACGTCGCTGAATCGAATGCTACGCGACCGCATCCGGGACACGATGCTCGCCCGTGGCTGCGTCGGGCAGTGGGCCAATGCACCGCCTCCTCTCGACAGCGACGCGTCGTCGTCGTTCTTCCAGCACGTTGATGATGACGCCAAGAGCATCGAGACCAACCCATAAAACGAGTCTCGTAATAGGATTACCTAGCGGGGAGCATCGCCGCGCGCGTCGCTTCAAACGTAAGGAAGAAAATGCAGCACCACGGCGCCTCGCGCAGCCAGTAGGGCACAAATCCCTTGTAAAACGCGCGCATGCCTTGCGTGCGAGCAATGCTCCGCGCGCAGTCGAGAACGCCGAGGGTTCGGCGGCGATCGGGCGGCTGGGACATGAGCGTCGTCTTGACCACGTCCAGACTAGCACGAGGAGGAGAAGATCGCCATCGAGCGAGATGCGCAAGAAACGTACGGGCTCGAGGCGAGCGCACCCGCGAAACCCGCGAGAAGACTCGCGCCCATGGTGGCCCCGAGGCCCGGCGTCGCGAGGCCAGACTCGATCAAGTATGTCTTGCTACAACACGGGCATCGACCACGTGGCAGAGGCAGAACGCGCTGCATACCACTGGTCGTACGTGCCAAACTCCATGCCGTTGACGATGAAGCAGCGCTGCATGTTGGGAACAACGCCCTACGACGACGAGGACATGGGTGTCGACGGTCGATGGAAAGAACTGTACGCGAAAGAAGCCCCGGACGCCTTCTTGTGCGAACAGCGCGCGCCCTGCATCCAACATGCCCGTGTACCGCGCGGAGCCATGGGACGTGCGGTCGGCCTGCGTCGTCGGTTCTCCAGACGAGACACGTACGCACAACATACCTGTAGCATGACCTTGACGACGTCGAGCCTACAGCACCGTTCAATTCAATCCTCGCGCTACCTAGTACATCGTACGGATTCGCTATGCTAATCCCGATCGCGCCAGCAATGCCGCCGGCCAAGATCTTATTGGCGAAGCCGCTCTGGGCAGGAT